CTGCTGTCTAAGTTTAGTTAAACTTGTGTAATTGGACTCGTCTTGTTTTGCTATTATATATGTTAAGTTTTTTCCCCCCTTAAAGTTCATGTTTGGTATTTTTTGTGTTCAGAAGCAAGGAAACAAGTCATGGAAGCAACGGAGAGATTAGGTGCTCAATATAGTCCTAGTTTACATCCTCAATGTACCCATTTGGTGGTCCAGATATCCTTTCTCGTTATCATTGTTCTTTTCAAATGACTTAGATTTTGGCATAATTTGAAACTTGGCTGATTTTGGAATAAAGAGATCACTATGTTTAAAATTTTCTGACATTATTGTACTTACCAGATGGATATTATGTGTATGATGATGATGTTTCCTATTGTCTGTCTACCTATTGTTTCTACTGTTGCAATAGTTCTGTCAACCTTAATCCTTAGTTACAGCGTTAGCGGACGCAAGCTTGAGCATGCTTTAAAACATGGATCAAGAAATGGTCTGTTCGTTGTTACACTTGGATGGTTTGTGGATAGTGTCAAGAGGAATGGTAAGTTTAGGCTACTTCTCATTTTATACTTCCCTGTTGTGATATGTTTTATGCTGTATTAGGGATATGCTCTTTTTGTGCTGCTATAACTACATTATCTTATAGCAGATGCTGTTGCCCTCCTAATATTCCATTTAAGGAATCGATTTCAGAATTTGGATACTGTTGCCCTCCTAATATTCCGTTTAAGGAATAGATTTCAGAATTTAGTTAAGTGTCAGGAATAAGAGTATGATACCTATGTTACCAGCTGCTGAACCGCAACGCTGATTGCAGTTGATATGTTCCATGAACCATCTGCTGTTATAATGTGGCTGATTTTTGAGCTCTTAATTGGAATCTCCAAGTGTCTTTTTTATTTCAAATTCTACCATAGAGTCGTATAATTCAGAAATAATCAGCTTACAGTCTGTCTGCCCAATTGTCCAGGTAGTATAGAGTGAGACTTCTAAGGTGCAATTTTGGTGCCTTCCTTATGTGCATCTCAGTTGTGGATATATAACTTCTATGTGAGATTTCTTTACATGGTTTAGGAAGCATTCATCCTTGTTAGTAATTTAAGGAATTGAAAACCTGACTTCTTAGGATAAGCAGAGCTTGAGTATTTTGAAAAGTAAAGGAACTTGAGAACTAATTTGATTTTTGTTATTTAGTAGTATAAAAATCATTTTTTTTCTCCATTTACTGCAGTAAGGTTAAGTGAATCACTCTACACTGTGAAGGGTGTTGGAGAACATGGCACACGTGTAGATGAGTTGAATCGGCTTGTTAGGTCTACTGCTACTGAAAGTTCATGTCTTCCTGCTGGTTTTCATGAAGGCAAGAAATTTGGCATGATAGAAAAACCAAATGAACGAATTTCTGGAAGAGATCCTAATAAAAGTATTGACACAACGCTATCTGGTCATATTATGTACATTGATTCTGATATTTCAGATGAACTGCAGAGTAAGGTGATATTCAATTTCCTCCTTAAAATTAGTTTTTCCTCTTTGAAATGCTAGTTCAGAATATTTTGCATGGTTTAAGTCATGAACTGAGGTCCTAGATTTGGTGTGTCACTGTCTATGTATCATTGCCAGACTAGTAAATAACTCACTATTTTGGTTATGTTCAACTTGTATGTCGCTTTTAGCAATTCTTTGACACATTTAACATGTTGGTAGGTTCTTGAGGCAGTTTCTAAAGAAGGGGCCACAGTTGTAGATCGATGGTTTGTTGGTTGCAGAGCAAGTCATGTAGTGTGTGAGGGGAATTCTATCCATCGATATATTGGCCACTCTAACAACATTGTTACGGTGAGTGTGTATGAGTGCATTGTGGGAATAGGGTATTTTGTGCATCATCATATAACGATTTTGATTCTGACATTGTTATTTCTCCCAGTTTTCGTATGATATCATCACAGGCAATATGCATAACACTTCTACCAATAATCAATGCTTTGTTATGCTCAAACTGATTTGATATTTAATATGTCTCAGCCACTGTGGGTCCTGAAAACAGCTAAGGATAGGTGTCTGCAGAGGCTTGTTCACATGTCTGCTGATTTGGCTAGGCAGATTGGGGCAGTGCTTGAAAATTCTCATAATGGCATTATAGGAGAGGTATTTTTTAATATTTTTGTTGTCAGAATTAGGATACAGTTGCATTTCTTTCCTATGATAATTGTATTGGAACTCGTTTGAGAAATAGATTCACGTCTTTTACTTCTATGATAGCAAAAGATGCCTTATTATTCCTTTCCTGTGATGCTGGATATATTAGTTGTCAGGGTAATGGAATAGGGCCAAGCATGAATGATTGCATATGAAAAAAGGGAATAGATTGAGCCACTTGGAACAATTTTGAAGGTGTGGATGAACAGAAGACTGTAATTGGGCAATGATGGATGATTTATAGATGAACTCTCCAATAGATTAGCTCATACTTGAACAGATTCAGAATCAGGATTTTTTACAGATTGCTTTTAAGCTATTGACCTTTTAAACTCTCCATTTAGGGGTCAAGTCTTTTTATTCCTACTAATTAGGTTCAGTTTAGGTTTCAACCATCTACATTCGTCAGTTTTGATGTGTTTTAATTCATTAAATTGATGTTCTCTTGTATGCTTGTGTGCTGATTTGTTGTTGTTTATTTTAGCTTCTCTGAGTATTATGCTGATGTTAAGCTTTTACTTTTGTTTTAATAGGAAAATAATGTAGCCAATTTCACTCACGATACTCAGAGCTTCAGAAGGAATGCAAGTCATGAAGAGAGGCAACAGATTGTTCATTTAGCTAAAACTGGGGTTAGAAATCGTCGCAGTCGTCGTATGCAGGCAAGTGGTTAATTATGTTTGGTATGTTTTAGGGCTTCACGCTAATGTGGGTTTATCCTGTCATGCTTGTTATCATCACGCAAAAGAGCCTTGGACATTTTAAACCATGCCTCAATCTTGACTTGGGTAATTGGGCATCGCTATTTTTCTTATTTAATGTTAAAAATTGAAACTATACTATATATAAACCCGAGAGACTACAGTAAGTCATTTTAACTGTAAACTCAATTGCATGGAAGAAATTTTAACTGGATGAACCTTGGGCATTTGAGTGGGGACACGCTGAATGGTTGGAGCGCTAACCACACCATGGTTCCTTGTTCATCTATTCATGCACGTTAGAAAGCACACTGCCAAAATGATATTAGGTATCAGATTGATTGACTTCTAAGTTGCTGGAGGCAAACTAAAAGGTATTGATGGGCTTGCTCACTGAATATGATTGACTTGCTCATTTTTGACAATCAGTGGTTTCCTATATTTCATATCATAGCATGTAATCTATGGAGGCTCCTTATCTTACAGCATGCATGCCATGCAAATTGCAAAAATGTAAGCTGATTGCTACCCATTTCATCTGTGTGTGTTCAAACACAGGCATGTGTATGCACTTGCTTATGCTTTCTTTATGGAATGCGGGGTATTTATCTAGCATACAATTAAAGACTACTTTACTGAAATGATTTTATGTATTGTTGTGAACTATTGCATTTCTTTGAACATCTGTTTTCTTTCAGACTTGTCAAACCCCAATCCGTCCAATAAGCCCAAGCAGTCTCCTGGATTCAATTTGCTGGTCCATATCTGAGCCTACTTCAACTGCTTCTATTTACACAGACTCTTTTAGTAGTGAAGATGCTAGTGATCATCAATCTGTATTCTTTGATGCAAATGGGGATGGCAAGGACTCTGGGGCCTCTTTCACTAACTTAACCCGGTCTCTTACAGAAAGGTTATTAGTCACACTCTGCTGTTATAGAAATTTGTCGTTTGTCCCATTAGTCTTTTTCTTTTTCATGTTTTAAGTTAATTAGCACATTGTCTGATTCCCATCTGTTTTCTGTAACTTGTTCACAGTGAGAAAAATGAGTTGATATTCAAAAACCACTTTCTTACAATACAATTTCCAGTTGATCGATTTTCTGAGATGGGGCCTTCTTCACGGACATATTTCAGTGATAACGGCTTTACATGTTTGCAGGTTTTGGATTATATATATGCCTTCTATCAGGTATGACTTTGATAAGTTTTTCTTCCCCAAATTATTGTGCTTAACTGGGTTGTTTATGCAGATATAATATCTTGTTTATGCAACATGTTCAAAGGCAATCAATCTTTACCAGAAACTTTTGCTTGCGTTGCTGCTCTTTTGTAGGAGAGCATGTCAGCACATGAAGTAGAGGCTGCTATTCACACCGACTCACGGCATGCTGACCGGCTTCGAGCAGTGTACTCTAGCAAAGAGACGGTAGAATGTGGATATGTAAACTTCAAACGAATTGACTTCTTAGGAAGTCGTACAAGCTTTGAAATGTTGAAGCGTGTTAGTGGGGATAATAACAGTAATGTATATGAGCTCCTGATTAGAGCCTAAAATGTCTTTGCGTTGGGTACCTTTCATCATATACCACTACTGAAGATGGATTGAGTCTTCAGGCGCAGCATCAACATTTCAAGGAGAAAAATGAAAAGAAACAAAAAAAAAGAGAGTAGAAATACATCTTATTATGGCATTACCCTTCTTTAAATATACACCATTTTTTGGCAATGAGTGAATTTATCAAATTTTGTACGTCATTGGTGAATGAATGACTGTAAATTAACCAAATAGGAACTATTAAGAGCCAACTACAAATCTGTGTTCCAAACTCTAGAGCAAATAGCTTTGGTAAAAGCCTTTAGCTTTGGGAATCTACAATTGTATAACATTTTTTAAAGTAGACAATTACAGAATAATAAAGTACTTTTTAGCAATTCTTATTGCTACATTCATTATTAAATGGACTATTACACGTACATGATTGTTAGATATTTTGTTATCTTATGACAATCATGGTCACAGCTTACATTTGACACCGAGAGAACTTGGCTGTCGGGTACTGTCAAGGAAAAATGAATGAGATTGTGGACTGCTGGATAATACTAACACCATTCTCTATATCTTGAACCAGAAAGCTGGTAGACTTGTTAGGATTCACCAATGATGAGCTTCCCCTGCTGTTCAAGTTCATAAAGCATAACCAGTGCTGCAGAATCCAATGAACTTTTTTTGTCAGCCCTTCCATCTCCAGTGCATTCAATAGTGCCGAATCTCGGTATATTCAAGGTGATATTTGATACAAAGCTGATAAACCCCTTTTTCCTTTCAGTACCTTCACCAATTTCCACAGGAGTACTGCATGCAAAAGTAATGATGAGGCCACAGTAGTAGCAGATCAAAAAAATGAAACCTTACCAGAAGGTTGGATGATATATGAATGTTGAAAAGAATGATTTCTAAGTCTAGAACAAAGAAAGAGATGAAAGAGACATACCTTGATTTGTGTTCAGTTGCTGTGAATGTAGGCATAGGCCATAGCAGTTTCTTACAAAGCTCAAAAAGAGCAGTCCTAGGTCCTCCTTTCTTTGTGTTTATTGTTGCAATTACTTGAAAAAAGAGAGAGTGTCAAGGATAGGTTTAATCATGACACTTCTGCCTAAATTTGGGATCATTGTCTTGCATAAAGCAGAACAAATCCTTCAGGTATAGAAAAGCAAGAAATGCTAAGCATCAACACCTAATTCTATAGGAAACATGATGAAACCAATCAGATATGATGGAAAATCCTTCTTTGATCAATGAAAGCACATGGAAAATGTAGAATCATCTCACACATCTTGCAAACAAAGTCACCCAAGACACCAATTACACAATTAAATCCAATCTAATTTATCGAGCATGCACCCTACTATATTATATCAGCTTGCTTTTGTAGACAATGACATCACGTGATTACTGAATTTCTATTGAGAGACAAGGCATGGAAGATCTATATAGACATTTGCTAGCAGAATAAAGCAAATAACTATTTCAACAGAATGGGAATGATCTTTTACAGTTTTTTGGAAAATATTTTTTCCCTTTTCAGTTCCAGGCCTTGATTCAGTATATTAACTACAGGAGAGCTCATTCAGTTGGCTTGATAAACTGAGGTATATATCCTCCAACAATTATCATTCAATCGTCTAATATCACTCCTACTTCAAATAATCTAAACTTGTTATCCAATCAGAGAAAAGTAAAAAAGACAACTGAAAATTACATACCTGCACCCGAGCATTATCCCCCTATCTAAAGAGCAAGGTTCGAATCCCCCCTCCCCCAAATCTAAAAAAAAAAAAAAACTGAAAATTGCATACCTGGGGTGGGAGGGGCAGTACTGCATGCTCTCTTTGAAGAATCATAAGTTGGGGAAGGAACTGTAGTTGAATCTTCAAGCAATTGAATTTTGGCTCTCCTCTGCCTCTTATGATTTGTTGGCTCTAATGAATCATCATCAGTGGTTTGAGTTGAATCTGCACAGCCCTGTTTCCTTCTCTTGCGGGAGATTCCCCTGTTCTGTTGCAATGGCAAAAATTAACTGAGTGATAAATCATTCCCAATGTGAAAACCAACAATCAGTTCTCTACCTGCTTTACTCTATTCATTACTTTATATCTAAATGACTAAAGCCTAAATGGTAATCAAACATAATGGTTAAATATAGAGATAAAATTATACATTAGAGTCTTTCATTTAAAAGCTTCAGCTCTCATCATTTACAAAGTAACAAGAAAATCTTATAGAAAAATTTGTATGCTGTAAGATTGCTATTTGGAATATTTTCTACAAACCCACAGAGCGATACACAGACTAGACATGCATATCATCCCCAAATGTAAGCATATATGCAACACATGAATAAAATAAAAATTAAATATTATATGAAATGAAGGGAACTTTTGATTGCGTAACGGAAGGTGGTGACTGGGGAATCATTGTGAAATTAATGGCTGATCTCCCCATGACCAACCCTCACACATGTCCCCAAGTCTTGGCAATCTTTAATAAGCATGTACCTCAAGTTCCTTCAACAAATATGAAGCCGCTTTTCCTTTTGCTACTTTTCTGCTTCGATCAAACCCCTCTCCAATCAATAAAATATCATCCAGCTGTAATTGAAGCTTGGCATGCACAATTTCCCCATTATAGATACATTTTTCCTTAATAAAATATCCTAGAGAGTCACATAGTTCATTCAGTTCCCTAAGTGGAGGCAGCTCAAGCTTATCAGGGGTCACAATTGGGGATAACAGTGGTTCAACAATTCTCCAGACTTCATCGAGATTGAGATTGGTATCGATCAAAATTGCCCCAACAATACTTTCAACCACGTCTCCAAGAGCCTGTCACAAAGAAAGTATCTATCCTCAAGATCCATATGGTCAAATAATCGCCTCAATCGAAGAGTCATATGCTATTCATATAGGGACTGATTCTAGCAGCCACATGGTAGACATGGAAGCCATATCAAAAATAGTAATGGGACATAACAGAGCCATACAATGTGTTGCTAATTCTGCACTATAAAAAGATTAACAATAACCCAATACTTGAACATACCTTGGGACCTTTTATGCCTGGACCTGATCTGATGGTGTCATGAGATTCCGGGAAGGACTGTACATACTCACTTATTTGGCTTGATAATAAAGTTGAACAATGTTGAAGATGCTTATGAAGGTCATGACGCACAGCAACTTGAGCAAAACTTTCATTATTAACCGAAGCTGAGCGCAGGTCGGTCAATTCTCCTGGATCTATATTAGTGTGATTGTGGTAGAGATATTGGGTGATCAGCAAGTCCAACACAGAATCACCAAGAAATTCAAGCCTCTGTAGAAAATTTTCAATATGTAGAAGGGTGAGATCACATGAGACCTAAGCCTGTAAAGCTATATAAGATTATACGAACCACGCACTCAAATTTATATTATTTGATATCAATTTTAAGACTTTTTCCTCCCACTTGTTGGAGAATAAAGACAAAAACGGAAAACAGGAAAAAGAGACTATATCTATGTTCTATTAACAAGCTTTCCAGACTACTGACCAATTTTCCTTCTTGGACTCCAAATCCACTTAATCTTTTCTGAGAAAAAAAGGAAATAGAAAATGAACACAAGTACAAGACCAGTCAAGAACTTCTGTCACTACCTGGTAACAGTAGAACTCACCCACAGATGCATGTGTCAAGGCCTCCTGCAAGAAAAACTTAGAAGAAAAACTGTAGCCCATTTTGAACTCTATAATGTGGATTTCATCAGTGGGGACATAGGTTTGTACCGATGCACATCTAATAGCTTCAACTACCAAAGCGGGATCAAGTTCAGCATCAATACCAAGCCACTTCATCATATGAAGGGCAGCAATGAGTCCACCACTAATGTAGTATGCTCCTATGAGAGCTTCAACACAATCCGATATGGTTTTTGAACACATCCATCGATGGCCTCTATCACAGGATTTACCAACCTTAACTTTTGGGTCTTCAGACTGAAATTTTTTATCTAAAGGAATTTCTAGAGAGTCCACCCCACACTTACAAGGAACAGGGCGAAGAGATAGTTGCCCTGGAGCTACCCAACGACGGGGATCAAAAGCACTGTCTCTAATGTATCCCTGTTATATAAGAACAGAATAAATGTAACCAATTAGCAGTTTGTAATATTTATAAAATTGCTAAAACAAGAAGAAACAGCATAAAGTTGAACAAAAGAGCAGCTTCTACCAGATTAATTAACAGATAGAATTGACAGATATTCCAGTGCCCAGACTATAGATTCCAATATTCAGTAATAGCAAGAATTGCAAAGGATATGTAGAACATATCAGATAAAAAAAAGGTGACAAGAATATCAAGACTCAATAAATAAAAAATACCATCATTCTGCACACTTTGAGCAAAAAGGGTCATATTATATGATTAGAAGTCCTTCCAATCTGGTACAAACATCAAGTAATTTTGTAAAGTAATAAGTGTCACAAACTCTGTAAAGCTACAACAATATACCATTCACAACCATAAACCATTTCTTTGGAAATTATACAATTAGAGGGCAGCAGATTATAACATGTAGAGATATTAGATGCACAATGAATGGCAAGAAGGATGGTATAACAAGCAATAATAGTTGCCCCAGAGAAAATATATCCATTAAAAATGGATCTCAGCCTATGCATGAAGCTGAGCGTGTGATTCAAGGACACGATTCTAGCAGAGATAAGGAAACAGCACCTGTAATCTGCAGTCAGTTCCCAACTTATGCAGGGTAGAATTACAAACTGCCCATGATCGCTTGGCAGATAATTGTCCTTCATGGTTTTTGGGATATTTAAGAAAGAGGTGGCAGCTCACAGCATACTTTAGAACTGAATCCCCAAGCAATTCCAGCCTCTCCATGGAAAAACTTTCACAACATCTAGGTGTTGTTAGTGCTTCCAGGATCTATTTGTTTAAAAAAATTATCAAATTATTATTATGGAACGACTCATTTCAGAAATAGACAAAGTTAGAGGACAACAATAGAGCAAACCAATGAGCTTGGTATATCGAAGTTGCCAGAATGAAAGTTGATCTCTTCTCTAAGTTGGCTAGCCAACATTAAGGACTCCAGCCGGTGCATCAATGATGGTAGCAAGTAAAATGCTTTAAGAACATCTATTGGAACATCAAAGACAAGTAAAAGCTCAGGGGGCATGTGGACATGATTCCGTGGCTTTTCATTAACCAAACCAGCTTGCGATGCCTTAGCTGAAACACCTGCTCAGTTATGGGAAAATATTACAAATCATATATACAAAAGGTAGAAAGTGCCATTTCAGATTTAAGGACCCAGTCAAAGTATCACTGAATTAATATATTTTTTATTTAAAATCTGTCTCAGGGTGCATGCAATCGTGGCATAAACTAAACAATCTTTTCAGCGATACTGAAGTATACAGAAATTGAAACCATTCAGCTGATAACTATTAGCTCTTTAAGTTAAAACTTCAATGTCACGCCTAAAATTAAAGGTTTTTTCCCCCATTTTTCCTGGAGATTATTGCTGTTGTTCTAACATGGACATCTTTGATGAGAGGATGGGCACAGCTGGTTAAGTAAATGGCTGATCGTGAGTAATAACCACCATGCTTCTCTTACAGCCCACAGACTCTCTTTAACAATATTCAAGATGTGAAATATATTTCATACCAGCTATTCTCCTTTGCAGCTACGTTTTCTCCATATACAAACTCGTTTACCCCATGCAAATCTGGCATCACTAGATCATGAAACCACAGACCCTACCTGAAAATTTTGAGAGCTGTGTACAGTGCCAGCTTAACTGATAAAAAGAGTTTTCTTTTAACACATGGAATGTTTATACTTCTTTCAGCTGATTCTTTGTTTTAAACAGGCTTAAAAGCTCAAAGAATCTATTGTGATAAGCAGAACAAAAACTTCCACTTTTTTTGGATTAGAGATAGCAAACTGTTTTAAGAATTATGAACTGGATAAGATTATTATAAAACAAGATGATGAAAATTACACCTACAGAAACTCCTATTCTAATATAGCTAAAAATTGACAAACCTTCATCACTGAAATTCACAAGCAGGTTGTGTGGGTTATGACTCTGCTTCAACAGCAACAAAGGCTGTCCTGGATGTTTAAGCACGATCCCATACCTGATCAGAGCTAATGTTGTCATTGGAAACATAATAGTGATGCAGATATACAGAACATTAGCTGGAATTACCTATCACTTACTTTTTGTGGAAGTATTCAGAGAAGGTAGCAAACTCTGATGAGACAGAATCAACAATTTCATTGAAAGAACTGTCAGCAGATGTATTGCTCACAAATTCAAGGATGGAGTAGATTCTTCCAGTATGAATAGCTACTACTACCATATTCCTAAGATTGTTAACATCAACTGAACAGTTAGCAAAGTGGATTATATTGGTCTCCTTGCATTCTGTCACAGATGAACCAGTCCGGTTCAATGATGGATTGCCTCCATCACCATCGGATTGCTCAGTGCCTAACAAAGAACTTTTATTTAAAAATTCTACAGCAAATGTACACGCTGTTACCCCTGGCCAATTTATTCTCAATTCATTGCTTAAACTGTCCTCAAGGGGTAGAAGCAAATACATGTTGGAGGGACTCCACAAAGAGCTTGTTTTATTCTGAAGTAGAAATTCTCTTGGTGTTCCAGATGATTTAGAACCAACAAATAACCTCCCAAACAAGCCATTAAAGAAAAATTCCTGAAAGCGCTTTGCTTTCATCATCTAGAGTGAAGAAAAGAAAAAAAATCAAAGTGAAGAACAATGAGATCAAAACAAATATATTATCTATAAGAAAGAAACAGAAAAAATTTTGCTACGTTATGTTTATACCTGGTCTGCATCCAAATGCACTTGCCCACACAAAGAGACACAAGTCTTAACCATCTTTCGAATCAAGTACAGATCCAATTCAATATTCCCCACATCATCAGCAAGCTTCGATTCAATTAGAAGAACAAATCCAGAATAAACCACGTTAATGATATTGCAGGAGAAGTTAAATTTATAGGCAAAGAAAACAGCAGCATCAGGTTTTTCTCCCCAGCTTCCAGATACTGCACGAATGCAAGTTGTTCCATGCAGTTCCTTCCGTTTTGTAGTTCCTTTGTACCAGAAAAAAGGAAAACCAAGAATATGAATCAATTTATTTTCTACAAGACTTGAAAATGCAAACAAGGATACTAGATAGAAAGCCAAAAACTAAGACATCACGACCACACAATCATACATCCAGAAGTCAAGCAAGTAAAAACCGGCCAAAGTCTAACAGGCAGTCGTGCAAGTGATGTAGCATTGCTAAATACATATAGCAAAACACTATCTTAGTGATTGTTCATTGCTATACCTTGTGAAGTAACAATCAGCAAGTAAAAAACAGTCTATTGCTAATATTTTCATTATTGCTATGAAGATCATAAGGCACACTTTTATGCAGATGATGACAAGGGGCTCAAGAAAGAGAGTAGCTATTCATTCATTTAATGAGCAATATGGTTCAATTTTGAACTCAAGTCCACTATACTTATCACGAGCCATAATGGAGGGCATTTATAACTTTTCTTGCATACTTGAAACCAAGTTGCAAAGTGAGTCATGAGTTTCATACTTAGAAAGCTTATGTCTATACCTGCACCTGAACCTGAATCTTTTCCTTTAGCAATACAATGATTTTGTGAAGGCTCTTCAATGGTTGGAAGAAGATGATCATCCAATGCGCCCATTTGATGAAGCTGTTTACATGCTTCCAAGCAGACAAGCTGCTTTGCTAAATGAGAATTCCTAGATAGAGGACCAACAATTGTTTGCAAGGCTGCATTAACAGGTAATGATAATTTACACTCGTATAACCCTCCAGAAAATGTTAACTGGAAACTTGGCTTTGGCACGTAATACCTACATTGAGCAGAGGACAATACGCAAGATTAATGGATTCTACAAATTACACAAATATAGTGAAAAGTGAAAATGAAATAACTATAAAACAAGAAAAACAGAATGCATACTTATCACCAGGGAGCTTTTCACAATATCGTTGCAGAAGGCTAATAGCAGAATCTGCAGTAACTGAAGCTCCAGTAGCATCCACAATATAAACATTCGTTTCTTTGACTGTAGGATTTTTGAGAAGGCATAGATCAGGGTCTCTGTTAATAGCTGTATTTGTCACTGAATATTCACTCCTGATTATATCATATAGTTGATTTCTTTGTTTGACATTTCCCCTGTCATCACATCAGTTAGACTATTTGCCATTATTTCATAAAATAGAGACGCCCATGACAAGAAATCTCCAGAGATTTAGAAGTATCACAGACAAGCAACATATGCATACTTAACAAGGAACACGCTTTACCTCTCAAGCATCATGATGAATTGGGAATTACTCCGCCTAGCTCTTCCTCGAGATTGTACATAACTCCGGACTGTCTTGGGCAGGTCAAAACGTATCACACAGGAGCAGTTTGGAACATGGATTCCCTCCTCAACCACATCAGTAGCAAATAATAGATTCACCTACATCAGGTTTTTAGATTACTATATATAGATTCACATCTGTGTTTATAAGCTATCATATAAAAGATCAGATACCTTCCCAGATCGAAATGAATCCAAGGTTTCCTTTTGCATTTTTGGTGCCAGGGAATCAACTGATGTGTTACTTCCAGTCAAATATGAAACCGTGAAATGTGACAAATAGGTTACTTTCTTCACAAATCTTTCAATTACTTTGGCAGTAACAATTCTTTCAACAAAAATGAGGCACAATATTTCTCTAGTTTCTCTGCAACCAAAAAATTAAGCATAATCCAACATAGTGTTATTATATTTCAAGAAACCAACCAGTGAAGTTTTCTATTACCCAAATGATTGGAAAAGTTGAAGTAGTTCATGCAGTTTTGGAGATATATAGCCAAGATCTACTGCCTTTAAATAGTCAAACCCAGAATTCAGAAAATTTTCAACACCTGCAGAGATGAGAGAAGAACAATATTAGTAACAGACAAATGTATTTAATGACTAGTGAACTTAACTTCTCTAAATATGGTAAACTAGATAAAGAACAAAGATATAAGGTATAGCACAACATACCAAGGGGATGAGACTCCCCAATTATACGTAGCACTTCCTCAAGGAAATTTTTACACTGCAACATGCTTTCTTTATATGTTTCACACTCCTCTTTGGAGTCAGGGATATTCTCCAGACAGACTTTAACAGCCTAAGAACAGAGAAACTTAAAGCACATTAACTCAGGAGGAAATGGGAAGACATAGCAGAAATAAACAATGTAAAGCCCAAATAAACCTTATCTCAGTTAAGCTATGGTGATGTATAAATCACTATAGTTCAAAGGAAGATTAAGACATTTAGGTGGATATTTACGAAACACAATCCAGGGTTGTTGTCAAACATGACTTCGTTAACTTTTTATTTGATTAATTTATCTATCTGAGTTGAACCAAACAAAAAATGTATCTATTTGAGTAAGTAAATAGCAATTAAAAGACATATCTGTTACAATAGCAGCTTCAATATTATCTGGTAAGGCAAAACAAGAGGAACACACTTTTCCTCTTCAACAATCATTCTCCTATCCTCTCTAGTTGTAATTTACTGACAGCACAATCATACCTCATACGCACATATGAGACCAAGATTGTCAAGGCAATGCAGAATCTTAGCATGGTCGTTTGATAATCGCTTTCGTAGTGTCTTAAACTTATCATCCATGTCTTTAAAAGAAGTTTGTGGTGAGCCTTGTAACTTTGACAATGAAGCATCTGTCTATCCAGAAAAAATAAAAGGCCTTCAACATCCCACATGTAAAGAGTAAAACACCATATTTCCACTCAAATGTGCATAACTTATATAAGTGCATGGATACCTTTAACCAATAGGCTTCTACCATTGCTTTCAAATCCAAACTAGAGAATTGTGTTGGATCATAAAACCTACAACTTTCTTTTGCAGAAGGAACATATGCTTCCATCTCTGTCCTGTCTTGAATAGTATATATCTGCAGAAGCACATAAGATATTGTTCATATTAACATAGGACTTTTAATCCTGCAACAGCCATAACTAACCACAAAAGCTAAACAAATAAATAAATACCAAGCAATCCAAAACACTTTCAAGTTCTGATATTTGAGCCTCACAATCACTGCTGGATGAAACACCTGCAGAATGTTGAGTTACAAAAACCATGTAAAAGCATAGGACCCAAAACTTATTAAGATATAAATATCAATGTGCCTATAAGGAAACCAAATCGGGTGCAAAATTTCTGCAACAAATGTATCAAGAAGGACAAGGCTCTAAATTTCAACTTCATTTATTTTTCTTCATCAACTGATCCTCAACGACTCAAATAATTCATGAACCATAGTTTTAGATCATGAAGTCACTCTTTTTGAAATAGGAACAAAGGTCAACCATATGGGAATTTAAACAAAATGGAAAAAGAAAAACTTATGAAGAGGAAACACTTCAATATCATATGTGAAAAATACTATCAATACCTTACCTTTGCTAATGACAGGTGATGCTGTCATTCCAAAAATCTTTGGCTTGTTATTAGATTTGTGATAAAATTCCTTAACCAAAACAACAAACACAATGATATTTTCATTTTTAATCAGAAAACAAATAGATGAATGATAAAGGATTAGAGGAAATAATGTAAAGAGTCATTAAATTCTTGCAAAAAGATGATGCAGATTTCTGACCTTCATTATTTTTGTATAAGGATGGTTGCCAGTAGCACGGTGGCACTCATCTATTATCATTAAGGACACCATCTCCAGACTCAAGAATGCCTTCCTCAAGGCATCCAGTAGAATCTGGGGTGTCATAACAAGAACCTACAAGATCAAGGATACACATCTGCACATCAGCTATAACTTGATTTACATGTGAAGAACGACACCAAAAACGACTGTCCCTTTCATGCACCCAATTACAATGCATCTTGCACCTTCAAACATTATCAAGAAATCATGTCTGCAATATGCAGTTACAAGAAGTGAATGAAGAAACATTAGTACAAACAATTACGACAGAGGATTTCCAAAGTGAGTGGGAATGCTAGAACCCAAAAGGAATTTCTACGCAAGCTAACAGATATAGGGTTCAATGAATTAGCATACAAAATAGTCTTCTTGGAGCTGCTTAAAAAATAAACTTACATCATGCTCCTTTATTTCTTTCTCCCAACAACCCGCGTTCCATTCGTCAACTCCCTTAGCTCCATAATACTGTTCAACTTCCAGATTTGTATGAACTTTTATATATTCAAATTGCTGCAACAAAAAGAAAAAAACACACAAATTCAATGTCCAATTTTTCACATTACTAAAAGAAAGTTCAAACATTCGATGACAAAAAAAGCATACCTGATTAACTAGATGAACAGTGGGAGCCAAGAAAATAATCAACTTTTTGTTGTCAAAGGACCCGATAGCTTGACCAAAATCTTTAATGAGCATCACAGCTATCATTGTCTTCCCTCCGCCGGTATCCAACACTGCTATTATGTTTCTCTTCTTTGCAACTTCATACACCTCCAATTGATACCTACAACACAAAAACCAAAAACCACATGCTTGCTTATAAAATTCAAAAAAAAAAACCTTACATTAATGACACTAAATAATGCCAAACTCAAAAAAAAAAAAAGGAAAAGAGCAAACCCTCTGGGGTTCAAGTCCTTCGGATTTGAAGGTGAAGAAGGGTCTTCCTTAGCAGGATCATTATTGTCTAAAACCATCATATCAGGTGGGTCTGAGTTTATCTCACTGAATCTTCTTTTCAGAGGGTTGCCCTGCTCCTCCTTTGGAGAATGCATGTTGATTATTTATACAAAGAACAATGAGATAAGAACAAAAAAAAAAGGATCAAAATTTTACTGAATGAGATGAACTAGAATGAAAAAAGAAAAAAATTAAGATGAAAAACACGAAAAACGTGAAGCCCTAAAGGAAGAGTGGTTATGAAAACTGGTAATCATGGAGTGTATGTGAATGGGATTATCGCAAGGACATCGATTCTATAAATTTGACACAGTTTTTTGGGATTTCTAATTAACTTAGTATTTGGGTTTTTCATTTATGGAAGAAAAAAACCAAATAAGGCCTCGGAATCGGAAGCGAGTATGATCAAAATTCAAGAGCATTCAAGAGCCCTGCTTCCCAACACAGCGCGGTCTGCAATTACTCTTCGCTATAAACGAGACGAGAAGCACTGGTCAGCAAAGAATTGTTGTGTATGGCACCATCGATTTTATAAGAAAATGGGGGACAAAAATATTTTTTGTGAAGTTCTTTTGTTTTAATATAACTCGT